TTTTTTGGGCCAAACACATACCTAGGGATACCTCCCCACAAATCATATTGTTTGTTGACCATATCTTCAGAAATATGACTATAAATATTTCTATGGCTATCCATTATCTCTTCCTTTGTCCATGGGGGCATTATCAATTCACTTGCAGTATCAGACTCTTTTTGAAATTGTTTCATGGCCTCATTATCTGGAGAGTCAATAAAAACCTTTTTTGCCATTATATCCAGAGTTTTTGGAACTGTTGTGTCCATGATATACCAAGTTTCACCATCCTGGAGTTCTTTTCTAAATTCTCCTTTGAAAACACAACCATCAGGTTGAAATTTATGTTGATCCTTCATTAAGAAATGTTCATATATCACAGTTTTCCCCTGTTTAGCCAAATATATCAAAAGAAAAAATCCAAACATTGATTTTCCAATGCCAGGATTTCCAGTGACAATCCAGCCATTATAATTTTTATCTTCAGTGATCAATTTCCACAAATCTGTATAACATTCACGAATTATGAAAGCAGATCCAAAACTTTTACTACCAAAGATATTTACACCATCTGGAAGGGAAATAAGCTTATCATCTGGATTAATCATTAATGATAAAGCAGCTTTCCAAAATTCAATCATTCTTTCACTTGCCAGTTCTAAAAAATGAAAAATCAATGAATAAAATTTCTGATATTTTTCAAGATTAATGAAATGTATGAATATTTCAATTCTATATAAGAATATGATAATAATATTACATACCTGCTTGCTTGAGTCTCTTGCTTTCATTTCCATCATCAAAAGAAAATGACTGTTTTCTTTTTCCTACAAAAGTTATTCAATGGTGTAAAAGAAATAGTAATGGTGAACAAATGTAAAGAAAATAAATGATATAAAAAGATAAATCAAGAATGAAACAGATGACAAATTTAGTTATAATTGTAAATAGTAGGTTAAATATTCCACGGACAAATAAATAAATAAACAAAATGGAATGAATGAAAAATAATAATATTTTTTTTTTTGCGTAATTTGTTCATTACCTTCTCCACCAAATTTTCTTAATTCCTTCCCCACTCTTCTATTTGTCCCCTCCAAAAGTCTTTTTCTTCTTCTAATTTCTTCTTTCCTTCCTTCAACTCATCCCTCTGCTCTTCCCAACCCTTCTTCTGGTTTTTGTTCCTCCATTCACCATCTGCCAATTTATTATCCAACTTGTCTAACCTCTCCTGTTTTTTCCCTCTTCCCACTTCTCCAGCTTCTTTTTCGCCTCTTCATACTCCCCTCTTGCTATTTCTAATTCTTGTTTAATTTCTTCTTTTGTTGCCATTTTTAAAAGATTTAAAAAATTTAAAAATTAATTATTTTTAAAAAAAATTTTGATTTTATATTGTAATTGTTACAATTAGGGACATTGCAAATCAAGTGTCATTCAATATAAACATTACACAAAAAATTTATTGTCGTCCACTTCAAAAAAAAAAATCTCCGTTTTTCATGTAGCAAGCGACTTTCAACCATAATAAATTTTTTAGAGCCAGACTGGGGCTTTTAAAAACAGTTAAAAGAAAAGACTAGCTTAAATATTGGTTGTTCTATGCCAGGTTGAAAGCGTTTCTTTTCTTCACACTTATTTTAAGATTATCACTCAACCAATATGCAGACTAAAGCAAATTCAGCAGCAACAGTTGTGCCAAAAGTGTTCCCTACAAAGTCGCTTATAACTACTTGGAAGGTTGTGTTAGAAAAATTTTGCTTTTAATTATAAGGGAC